GGGTAAACATGATCATGGGAGGGCTCCCCGACTGCGATGATTCGGTTTGTGCCATCAAAGAGTATGGCCGCAAAGCAATCGCTTCGCAAAAATTTTCTCGTCCGGTGGACTACCACCCCACGATCACGTTCACATCGAAAGATATGCACGGGTTACACACCCCGCACAACGACCCGCTAGTGGTCGAGCTGCACATTCACGACAGCGAGGTGGCTAAGATACTAGTGGACACCGGCAGCACCGTCAATATCATCTTTAAAGATACATTAACCAAGATGGGGCTCCAGGACAAAGACATCAAAGCAGCGCCGAAGCCTTTGACTGGCTTAGCCAGCGAGTCTTTCTTCAGCCTCAGGACCATACTACTCACAGTCTACGTGGGCGGGGTGATAAAAATTGTCAAATTTACCGTCATGGATAAACCGGCAATTTACAATGCCATACTTGGCACACCTTGGATCCACGAGATGAAAGCTATCGTGTCGACTAATCATCAATGCATGAAGTTCGCCACCTCGGCCGAAGTTTTTACGCTTCACGGGAATCAGCAGATGGCAAGGTCGCGGCAAAAGCCCTTGAAGACGTTAAATAAGCAAAGAAGATTCAACGACGAATCTACTATGATACTTAGTTTTTCCTTTTCAATAAAACCGGGTTTGGCCCTTGAGTGACACCACTCATTCAGTAATGGTAATGAACTACGAACGGTTTGATCCCAATTTGGGTACGTAGGCAACCTCCGGATGCAGTTGTAAACCTAATAATTTTTTTATTCCAGAAAATCAGCTCGGCGTGTAGAGTCATATTTTCTTATGCGAATGCATCTTGCAGAATCAATGTTCTGGCCAAACATTCGATTAGAGAAAGCAAACACAACAAATAAAAAAAACAGTGGCTGATCATCACTCCTTTGATACTTTGGTTCGATTTAATTACTTTCGAAGTGGATAAGAAGAAAGCCGAGGACAATACTCGCACGACTCTCGATCATACCTTTCAAGCCAAAGTGAATCCTGAAAAATTGGTATTCGATCTTGATGGTCATTTGGTATAAGACGAGCAAAGGAATCTCGCTTCCAGTTCTAAACTTAAAAGTTCAGCGCACAATAAAACTTCACAAATATGAAAGACAAGTCTTATTCTCAAAAGTAAATTCATTATAAATCTAAAAGTCAAGGTTATTACAAAAGTAAAGGATAAAAAAAAAAATTAAATAGACGGCCTAATACTCGTCTTCTCCTAGCTCACTTCCGCAGGTTGTCAATCTCTGATCTGCTCGGAAGATTAAGGTCTTCACCCGTAATGACTATCTCATCGATAGCATCACTGGTCACCTTCCACTTGTCAAACTCCTTCTCGAAAGACGGAAGGGTCCCGACGGGGAGTTCCCATCCTTTATCCAGCATCTTCTTTAGGAACGCCACCAAATGGCTACTTTTCTCCATGCCGACGAGGGCTACTTCCACCTCTTCGCGTTGAATCAGCGAAGCCTGAGTCCGATCTAACTGCGGCTTAAACCAAGCGGTCTCACTATCAAAGATTCTGTCGGCAGCACGTTGAGCGACCTCCTCGCAAGACTCTTGAAGCTTTTCCTCCTCGGCGAGGAATCTCTGCGAGTTCTCCTCATTCTGCTTTTCGAGCAACTCGTTTTGCGCACGAAGGGCGGCCACCTGTTTTTGAAGCTGAGAAGCATCCGCCACTTCGCCCTCGAAGGCTTTAATGGTACCTTCGAGCTGGGAACATCTTTACTTGACAAGCCGATTCTCTTCCTCCACTTTTTTGAGCTCCTTGATTTCAGTACAAGCGGCGTTTGGCATCATCTCCTCTTCGCAGAAATTGTCGTCGTATGCCGCGAATGCGGACATATACGTTCCCAAGCCCTGCATCACAACCTATTATCAGAAAACACGCAATAAGAAGGGCACAACACAATCACAACCAAAGGATAAACAAAATTACCCGAGCTATCATTTGACTCGCCGAAGATATCAAATCTGCCAACTTTAACTCGCGAAGTGGCTTACCCCATTGCGGCTTCTTCCTGCACTTCCAGATCAAGTCCGCGGCAAACTCGCGGTTAAGCATCGCCGGGTGGTCCCATCCCATCTCGCGCAAAAATGGTGAGGATTGTAATCGAAAGACTCTTCCTCCTGCTTGGGCTCGGTCGGAGCATTCGGATTGACACCATCAGTACCCGAGGCCTTTTGAGAAGGAGCAACTTCCTCAGGAGCGCTAGGATCAACATTGTCGGTTCCCGGAGCGACTTCGGAAGGAATCGGCCCTTCAGATTAAGTCGTAGCAGGACCCTCGGTCCTCTCCTGACCTGCATCTTTCGTGTCCTAGACATCGGGACTATCCACTCTGGACGGCGAAGAAACACCGGTCCGGAGCTTCGAAGGAATAACAACTTGGGGCAAGAAAGAAACAACTTCGTGACGGCTCCCGGCAGCGTCGGAAGCAACCCCATCACCACCATCCACGACTCGAGAGGTGGGGGACGCTTCACCCTGAGAACCCCTCGCAGCTTTCTCAGTCTGTGCCTGCCTCAATCTCTCTAGCGCCGCTGCCCTGGAGAAGCTTTGAAAAAAATAACAATATAGTGTCAAAAGATCATCTCGGCATGATAAAGTAACACGCGAAGCCAGAAAGGAGTTTACCTCGCAAAAGTCTCGTTTTTAGCGGCCAGTTCGGCATCATCGGAATCCACTAAGCTAGGCGGACCCTGGGAAGTCGTCTTCTTTTTCTTTACAGAAGAACTCGCAGGAGCATCTGCGGCACCCGGCAAAGCCGCCTTACTCTTCTTTCGGCCAGCCCCTACGGGTTTTGGCTGCGAAGTCCTTCGAGAAGCTGAAAAACAAAAGCGTCAATAAGATATCATCACCAAGCGCTAATTAAAGCTACTTCAATCTAGCAATCTACCTGCTTTTGGAGAATTGGTCTTCTTCTCAGCCGGTTTGGCTGCTTTCTTTTTCTCATCAGCGGTCCTCTTTTTCCCTTTTCGGACCACAGCTGCCGGCTCAGGACACGGAGCCTCTTAACATCGTCGTCAAACCCGATCGGATCATCTCCAAGACGTATTGCCACTACCATACCAAAAAAAATACACATTAGTATCTAGGGATTAGCAAAAAAAGGGGGGGGGGGGAGGGGGTGGCGGGGTAAAATAAATTCAGTTCGCCTTACATGGCGTCGACCTCCAAGTCTTAAATAAGGTAAGCTCGGAACTACCAATGGATGCTTCGTTAATCTTCACGTAGAAGAAAACCTGTCCCACTCGTGAACCTTACTCGTCGGGTCCCCGCCGATGATTCCCTCCTTCATCGCGGTATAAAAATGGCGCCACCCGCCGCGGTTCATCCTTCCTTTCTTCAGGATGGATATTCTTTCAAAGATATCCCAGTTAAAAGGAACCATTTCCGCGCGAGCAAACGCCGCCAGGCTGTTAAAGTGACGAATTACAGCATGAGAAAGCTGCACCACCGGTATTTTCCTCCATTCACAGTAACAGAGAAGCAGTGAAATCGGGAACTGAAGGCCAAACTCCGCGAAGTGGCACTCGTAAGAACAAAAATAACCTTCTGGGGGTGTGGTCACTCTCTCGTGAACCTGGGGAAGTAGAAACTCGACCCCTCCGGGAAAACGGTATTTCGAGCGAAGCTCCTGAAGTCTTTCCGCAGTCATCTAGGTCCTTCCGTCTTTAACGCCGGTCCTGTGCTTTGACATTGCGACCTTCTGCGGAAGACCTTCGATTCTGATATCTGACTCAAAACCCACTGGTTCGGGACCATCCAAGTCCATTTCGGAGTTCGCGTCAGAATGATCCGACGGAATCTCATCCCGATAACCCGAGGACCCCTCGGAGTTAGAAGAAGAAGAAGCGACTGGACTAATCCAGGCTCGCCTAGCACAGTCGGCGAGACAAATCTAGTCATCATCAAAAGAAGAGTTCGAAGACGAAGCTGACATTTTTGAAAATTTCTGAATGGATTAAAAGAACAAACGGAAGATCGGCGGAAAAGAAAGAAAAATTATCGCAAAACAGAAGAGAGTTAAGAATTTTCTAGAGTAAGAAGGAAAAGAGATATCTGGAGCAAGAAGACGAAGAAGTAAAAGTAAAGTAATAAAATCAAAAAGAAATATCAACAGTTTCCTAAAAGGATCCGTGTCAATATTCGCGCAATCTCGCCGCTTGGCGAACCCTTCGCCTTTCCCGCTTGAAAGCAAACCCCTAAAAATGGGTCAGAGTATTTAATAATTAAATTTTTGAAGAGCGCCACGCGTCAAGTCCACTTAAAATCGGGCCGAACTGGCCATTGCGAAACAATGCTCTTGACGAGCTAACACTTATTGCGAGATCAAACCCACTTAAAAACTTCATTAAGCTCGCCGATCTGATTTACAATCAGTCTCGCCGAACTGGGGGGACTTACTGTTAGAGGGGAAATGAGCACATTTCCTAAAAGGTTTTCTCTAGCAATAACTTAAGTCCATCAGGACCATGAAGACTGCGCCGACCTAGCTCGAACTAAAGGAAATACCCTAAAGATAACCATCGAAGACCGGAAACATCGGATCAACTCGAAGGATAAAGGTGAATTTCCTTATTCCTCGGAGAATAAGGGATATTTCCATATCGCAAATATGGAAATATTTACCAAAGGCAAAAAGCAAAAAGGAGTTCGAAGCAACCGACCTCCTAAACCTATAAATAAAGAGGATCTCAAAGCCAAGAAGGACAACTCATACATTCTAGAGAGCAGCAGAGCTAATCCCAGAGACTCCAACGCTTTCTAGTTTCCTTCACAAAACACTTTTTCACTTCGGCATAACCTCTCGGTTATACCGTTCTTTGTAATTGTTTCGCTAACTTACTATTAATAAAATATCTTATTATCTGAAACCCACAACTGTTAATGAAACTCTAGTGGTGATTTTCTGGTTCAACAATTACTATTCATCTTAACTTAAAATAAAAATGAGTTTAGTAAAAAAATTGATTTTGCTTATTACCATTCATCTTAATTGAAAATAAAAACGGGACAACAACAAAGGCAAATAGAAAACAACCTGTAGTTGAACAGACCAAACTGAATTAACTCTGTATTTTAATTCAACCGGAACTAAAACGAGCTCTAGTTAATTCCAACCATTAGTCTCTTTGATCAATTGAGAACTGTGGCTGTGGCTGTGGGCGCTGCGGTTGCGGCTGAGGCATCGATGCCTGTGACATAACAGGCTGCTTGTGATACACCATTCCCCTCGAGAATAATTCTTGATTGTCTCCTGAAATATTTGCTAACGGTGCAAACTCCGTCATCATGGGAGGGCTAGAAACAACACTTAGGCCCTCATAAGGGATAGGGTTATCAAAAGAAGAGTATTCGTTACCACTTAAAGTACCAGTTGGGGTGATGTTCACACCGTGGCCGGTAGCGGCGATGATGGCAGGCTCGGCCTTTTGGAGGAGCCACCCTATGGTTTCGCCGTCAGTCTTGAAACCGAGTTCGTTTGTTAGCTGAAATAGTTGGGAAGCAGAGCTCACCGGAATGCGGATGTGACGGTCACGGCCTTCAACTCTGATATGGCGGTCTTTAGATGACTTTGCCTTTTGCTTGTCGGTGTTTTCATTACTCAAATCCATTTTTGGTTCCTAGTTTTGTTTTTGTAAAATGTATGTTTCATTTGCTTGGTTTATATAAAAGATTAACATTAGAGAAAAATACAAAATACCATTTAGCTAACAAAATAGAAGAAGAAGCTATATGTAGAATTCAGTTATGTGTAATTAATACTCATAAATTTCAAATATTAATTGATTTTAAGAAAATATAGAATTAGCAATATAGGAAAAATATAAAGATAGGTCCACATTTACTAAAAAATCTTCATAAAAATATGGATGTGAAATAAAATAAGGGGGAATTCCTCTTTATAACCTAAAATTTGATTTTTTCTCAATATGTAGACCCCTTATTGAATGTTGATATATCATGGTTTTTATGGTTTTTAACCATGATATAAGTCCTTTTTATTGAGTCTTTTTGGTATTTTTAGAGTCCTAGAAGAGTCTTTGCAGGTTATAGCATGTCTGGAGCATAATTGGAGATTTTGGAACCTTTTGGAGCATTCTGAGTGGAAGCCACGAAGTACCAAGCTCGAAGCAGAAAAGTATCGCATATGGTGACGATCGTCATCCCTTTAGTGACGCTCGTCACCCACTAAGGAAGGAGCGTGGCGTTTTATTAAAAGTATTTACCCAGAAGTTTCCTTTATTTACATAAAGACCCCAGGTCGTGTTTAGCTTCTATTTATTAGGTTTTTCAGCCATTGTTGGCTATTATCTAAGTTTTTAAAAATTCAGAGAGCTAGAGAGAGATTTATTCAGAGCTTTTTGGGGAGACAAATCCTGTACTCTATTGAGAAGATTTCGAACCCTCTTTGTTTCTTACTCTTTCTCTTAATACAATTTTATTCAGTTATGCTTTGTGATCTCATAATCATGTCTGAGTAATCTGCTAGTTAAGTTAGGGTTTTTCAAAGGTTGATGAAAAGAGTGTAGAATCGCTATCTGTTAGGAATATCTCATGGTTTTTCATCTCTGCTTGCTTTAAAATCGAATTTCTGAGACACATCATCTAGGAATCCGAAAATCATAGGTTGTTAAATATATGTGAGAGCATTATTCATAACCTGAACTAGTATTTGATGAGCAAAACAACTTAGTACAAAGAGATTTGGCTTAGGAGTTTTGTAAACAATCAAACCTGATCATTACTGCATGCTTAGGTTGTTAGGATTTGCAAAGATATTTGAAACTCTGTAATTTAAGCATAGATAACTTTTACAATGAGAATTGATTAGTTATGCATTAGAGATTCATGTTTAAAACGGTTCTTAATCATTCCTGATTTCCTGCATCATACATTCTTGGATTCAAACCTGCGAATTACCCTGGCTTAGCGCTTTTAATCTTCTTGAACTTAGATAACTTCACACATTCGTTTGCTTACTTTTATTAATTCATTCGCATTACATACATCATATTTTGCTTAGCTTAGTCCGAATCTATACTCGATAGTGTAGTTTGCATTACTCTCTTGGGATTTCGAAACCCCTTATACTACATCTGCTTTTGCTGTGCACTTGCAGTAGTTTTATTTGGGTAAAACATTGACCCTATCAAGTTTTTGGCGCCGTTGCCGGGGAGTAATAGCTGCCTATCGATTTTTAGTATTAGGATTTTGTCTAAGTTTTTATTTCTTTACTGATTTTCAGCTACTTTTCTTTGTTCCTGTTTCAGGTGTATGCCTAATCGCAGAACCAGAAGCAACAAAGAGAAGGAGCTTGTGACTTTGAGCATCGACGAGCTTGCTAGGTTGGAGAGAACTAACAGGAAAGCTAAGAAGCAATCTGCAATGGTCGCTCCACTGATCTTGGTTGAAGATGCAGAAGGTCACTTGGTTGACAGGGAAGGAAACAGGAGGAACGAAGAGGGGCAGAGAATTGATCAAGAGGGGAATGTCATTGTTGAACAACAGGTTCAGCAAGTTGCTGAGAACGTGGGAGTCCCTGCTGCTGTCAATAACGCTGCTGGGCGTTTTGTTCAGAGGACTCTAGGTGATTACAACAGACCTGATCAGTTCTATGCCAACAGAGCTGCAATCCGACCTCCTGCCTTCCAGAGGAACGATTTTGAGGTTAAACCTGTCTACTATCAGCTAGTTGGACAGCATCCCTTCATGGTTTACCTCATGAGCATCCTATGGATCACATAGAGAGATTTGAGGACTTGGCTTCCAGTGTCAAAGCTAATGGGGTTAGCAATGACTTTCTGTTCTGCAAGCTTTTTCCATACTCTCTTGAAGGAGAAGCTGCATATTGGCTGAAGCAACTGGAACCTGCTTCATTAACTACTTGAGAGGACACCAAGAATGCCTTTCTGAACAATTTCTATGATGATGCCAGATTAGAAGACATGAGGACGAAAATTGAATCATTTACACAAGGCCCTACTGAAGCTTTCAAGGCTTCTTGGATCAGGTTCAAGTCTTATCAAAGGGACTGCCCTCATCATGGTTTCAGTCAGGTGCAATTACTTGGGATCTTTTTCAGAGGCATTGACTGGAAATATCAGATGGCGCTGGATGCAGCAAGTGCAGGGAACTTCAACACCAACAGACCAGAGGAGGCGGTGAGACTGATTGAGAACTTGGTCTGCAGCAACAGCACTAAAAATGCAGACTTTCAGAGAATGAAACAAGCTGGTGTAGCTGATGGAAATCAGATTGCTGAAGTTAAGGCTAAGTTGGATGATATGCACAGCCTTTTGGTAGGGAAGAAGTCAGTTCACTTTGCTGCAGAAGTAGAGACTTTCGAAGCTCCAGAGGAAGTTGAGCAGGAGGATGTAAATTTCATCAATTCTGGCGGATTTCAGGGACAAAGGTATGGGAATCAGCAGTGGAACAGAGGATACAGCAATAACAATCAGAAAAACGCCCCTACAGGAGGACAGAACACGCCTGGTTTCACTCCTAGACCCCCTTTCCAGAAGACAGAGTATCAGAAGCCATTCCAGAACAGTGGAAATTACAGAAACTATGGGTCTACTTCCTATCAACCAGCACCTCCACAAGAGAACAAAATGGAAGCAATGTTCGAACAGATCTTGGAAGGACAACAGAAGCTTATTGTAAACTTCAATGGCAAGATAGATTCGCTCTATCAGGACTTGAATGGGAAAATTGAGAGTCTGAACTCTCATATGAAGAAGCTTGATGTTCAAGTTGCTCAAACTGCAGGAGCTGTTCAGAGGCAAGAAGGATTCCTTCCAGGAAGAACTGATGCTAATCCCAAACACCACGTGAATGCCATCACATTGAGGAGTGGAAGGAACCTGCAACCAGTGTTGCAGAAGGATTTAACCTCAAGAAATTTCATAGGTATGGAAGAGTATGAAGATGAAGAAAATTTTACTGCAGAACCATTGGTGACGCTCGTCACCAATAATGGGTGTCGCTCGTCACCCATTGAGGACAACCCCGACCCCGATTCTTCACAAATTAGTGACGACCGTCACCAAGGGGGTGACGCTCATCACCCATATCCAGTACTCGACCCCGACTCGTCCAAAGTGAGTGACGCTCGTCACCAACCCAGTGATGCTCGTCACCAGACACCACATGTTGCAGTTTCGCCTAAGACTTCAGATAATGCTAAGGAGACCGTGTATAAACCCAAGATACCCTATCCTAAGCATCCTAAGAAGTCTAAGCAGGAGCTTGAGGATGCAAGATGCAAGGCTATCATGGACAAGTTGGTAATAGAGATCCCATTGATTGATGCTGTAAGGATAACTCATGTTATTAGGAGGTATGTGAAGAGAATGGTGACCAATAACTTGAGTCTTGAGGTTGGGGCTATGATGATCAACGAGCAGATCAGTGCAGTGATTCAGAACAGAGTTCCAGAGAAGCTTTCAGACCCAGGAAGCTTTGTTTTAGACTGCACCATCTTCAATGAGAAGTTTGAGAGGTCATTGTGTGATCTTGGGTCTAGTGTGAACCTCATGCCTCATTCTGTTGCCAAGAGTTTGGGGATGACCGATTTTAAAGCTACAAGAATATCTCTTGTCCTAGCTGATAGATCAGTTAGAGTTCCTGAAGGGGTGATAGAGGATGTTCCTATCAAAGTAGGAGATTGTATGATCCCTACTGATTTTGTGGTTCTAGAGTATGGAGAAGAGCCCAAAGACCCCTTGATTCTTGGCAGACCCTTCTTAGCCACTGCAGGAGCTATTATTGACGTCAGGAAGGGTAGAATAGAGCTGAATGTTGGCGATTTAGTGATGAAATTCGAAATGGATAAGCTGATGAAGAGGCCAACCATAGATGGACAGACTTTTTATGTTGATGTTCTCACAAACATTGCTGATCAGATCTTCCATGAGATGAGTTCAGAGGACCCCTTGGAAAGGGCGTTGACCACTTCTACAGCTGAGTATGAGCATTTAGATGCTGCTGCAACAGGCTATACAAAGATGATGGATGCTACTGCACAAGTTATGCAACTGGTTGCACAGGATGAACTTGTCTCCACATCTGCAAAAGCCGCCACAATGGGTGACTGGTCAGCAGCAAAAGCACCAAAAGTTGAGCTTAAACAGCTCCCTGCAGGGCTAAGGTACGCATTTCTAGGAGAAAACTCCACCTATCCTGTTATTGTTAATGCTTCATTGAACAATGCAGAGCTCACCCTACTGCTAAGTAAGCTGCGAAAATTTCGCAAAGCTCTTGGCTATTCTCTTGATGACATTTCAGGTATCTCTCCAGACTTGTGCATGCATAGAATACACTTGGAGGATGAGTTGAAATCATCAGTTGAGCACCAGAGGAGGCAAAATCCGAATTTGCAGGATGTGGTCAAGAAAGAGATCATGAAGTTGTTGCAGGCTGGTATCATCTATCCTATTTCAGACAGTGCTTGGGTGAGTCCAGTGCACGTGGTGCCTAAGAAAGGAGGTGTCACCGTGGTAAAGAATGACAAGGATGAGCTGATTCCAACCAGGACTGTGACAGGACACATGATGTGTATAGACTACAGGAAACTGAATGCAGCAACAAGGAAGGATCATTTTCCTCTACCTTTCCTCGA